TATGTATGTATGTATGTATGTATGTATGTATGTATGTATGTATGTATGTATGTATGTATGTATGTATGTATGTATGTATGTATGTATGTATGTATGTATGTATGTATGTATGTATGTATGTATGTATGTATGTATGTATGTATGTATGTATGTATGTATGTATGTATGTATGTATGTATGTATGTATTTCTATAAACATCCCGATTGTACGAGGGGTACTTTGTTCTATACATAAACAAGTTGGTGTGCCTTCTAAATATTTACTGCTACCAATTAAGTAGATTCATCTGATAAAATAGAAAGGATAATTGTATTTTTATGTCACTATTCAATACGAGATTTTGTCATGAATGATAAGAAATACGAATTTAGTCCTACACGTGAGTCTTATCACGTGATTGCAGTCGGTATCAGTACGTATTTCGTATCTGTACCTGAGATTTACTGCCAATCTTTACAGCTACGTCGAAAAGCCAATATCAAATGCGTGCATCAGGATATATCAGGTGATGATGTTCGTGCTTTGTTAGATGCCACTCGAGGGGCAGTGGCAGGAAGGAAACGCCATGCATGTACTGGACTACGTGCATGTGCGATTACTGAAGCCTCATCATATTCGCCAACGGATAAGCTCGTATATTTGTCCAAGCAGACGGCGCGTGGATGACTAATTAGGCACTAGTACGCACGACAAAACTAATCAACTCGGGAAAGTTTGTTTATCCGAAGAATTGGCTTCGAAAGATAAGCTGCGGAGAGTCCCAAAGCAGTCGCAACGAGAGGTCGAGCCCGTTTCTATATAGAGAACTCACACAGCACAGCTTGTAGTATAAAACGCGAGAGGCCGGTACTGTTGTAATTCTAGAGCATTTGAATACGTTTTTAGATTTAACCTGCAGTAAGGATTCTAACAATATAACAAATATGAAAGAGAATGGATGTGAGTAACGCAGTTGATGAAATGACGATTGATGATTGATGTGATTAATCAAAAAATTAACTGAATTTAACTCGATAATGGCGGTAATATTATTGTATAGTATACCAGAACGAGGCCATTATTTCGTATAGATACTATCAGGAGTAAGATAATATCGAAGATATAAGATCCTATATTATCTTACTCCTGATACTATCTATATATAATACTTAATATCCACTTAAAACTTCTTTGTAAAGTTTCTAACGCTTTTATTTGTTTTATCATAAACATTGTATTGAAAGAAATTCTCCAGTTAGACACAAACACATGCACATGCGGGAAGCACGCAATGGGTAAAGAAAATTCCGTCGTCATTACTAAATTAAATAATTATAATATACGCGACGTCTAGAATTGGCGCCTTATAATTATAAGGCAAACTCGTCCCTGCATAGCACCATGTGTAATGTTATTCTAATTCATCTAAGCAGAACCCAATGCTTCGCCTGTGACTTCAACATTAGACACTAGATTGCTCAATAACGGTGGCAGCAGTGATGTGGTAGTGTGATTTATATAGCTTTTTGTCGTGTGAACCGGCTCAAAACGCAATCGGTTGGCTTCGATATTGCACTCTTTGCTCTTCAACTTGATGACATGTGAGAGCGAGAGATCGTTGCTCTTTAAAGTAATGTCAACGACGTCTCGGCGTGGAAATAGCATTGCGTTAACTTGTGAAAAATGTATAACAGTGTTTGTGTTACTGGAGTCTTGCTGAATGTGAGTCATTGGGCACTCCGAGAATCCTAACACCCACTCAATTTTGACAGCACACTCATCTACCCATTCTTTGGAACAACTCGCTCATGAAATTGTCATTTTGCATTGAAAGATAAAAGGCTATGACTGATATAGCGTGGAATTGTTTTTATAACGTATAAGAGATTGAACGCCTGAATGGATGGTTGGATGGATGGATGGATGGATGGATGGATGGATGGATGGATGGGTGGGTGGGTGGATGGATGGATGGATGGATGGATGGATGGATGGATGGATGGATGGATGGGCGAATTTTATAAAGGATCGTTGCATTGATAGATCCATTCACGTGGGTGTGGATGTTTGCTTGCGTACGGCGCTGTTAAGTAAGTGTGTTTAAGTATTCGTATACCTAAACGCACTTACTCTGGAGTACGAGAGTGCGTGCGGCTGTGCAGTGACTTCAAGAATATCCGAAGCCTGTGCGTTGAGAAAAGCAAGTTATTGCTCGTTACATTACCATTTACACCCTAGTGGTAATAAGAAAATACTGCCAGGAAAAACATCCAATATTGTAGATGTGAGAATCCCGCTATGTATAATTCGCGCGCTGTGCATCTAAATGCGGCTCAGTAATTCGTCATAAATGTTTGTGCAGTTACAGTAATGGATTTTACGCTGCAATAAACGTTTTGCTTGATAGAATCTCGCGGGAGACACTGTGCGACCCAACCAACACCAAAGCGAATGCATTATATGTGCAACGTGGCCAGTGGAAGTAATTGCTTGCGTGTTCCATCGCTATGACGTACGTCGTGTGATTAGCACTACATTACCAAAGCGCCGTACCGTGGCGCGTTTACGTAACAAACTCTATGCGGTTAATTATATTCATTCTGAATTAATACCAATTAAATTATATCAGGATCGTATAATAACCTATATTAATTACTTCTGATTATATTGCATATGCAGGAAAGTCCACGTTCTTACGTGTAATCTCTAGATCACGAAAGGTGCCTACGTGCGTATGGCATATGTTTACGTGCAATATAGTAAACAAGTGATCACGCGTACCGGGGGTTGGAGGGTCCATTCACCAGTGCCCACCCACGCATCACCCCGCACGACTCGCATCATTCATTATATTTGGCAGCCGCCAACACCTACATCTCCGTAAAGACTCCCCCGACTTATCGCGTTCACTGCCCCCGCAAACTGCCCGCAAAGAGGCATCCATAGATCGAACCTCCCACTCGGACATTTGCCGGCGATGCACGCGCCCCCACAAGCCGCGGTCACTGCTCACTGGCTACTTGCGCGCGTGACGTCACGAGCTTCGCAGCGACCGGCGACGTAAGCGGTAGGGAGGCACGTGCGGCGAGTCAATCTCACGAAATCTGCGCCCGCACTGCCACCGTGACACCGCGCGTCCGTCAATAAACACCGCAATAGAGAGAGCGAGAGAGCGCGAGGGAGAGCGAGAGAGAGAGAGAGAGAGAGAGAGGGGGAGAGGCGACCGCCACCATAGAAACGTAAGAGACGTAGCAGCGCACGTCGCACACCGCGCTCACGGAACCCAAGACAGACACCAGTGCGCATAGCAGCTGACACAGGCGCAGCGACGCACTGCTGCCGTACAGGGATTCTCAAACTTGACATTTCGTCGCAAGAGACTGCGCTCAGAGAAGAGACGCCCGGCCGCGCATCCGCCGGTAAGCATACGTAATCGGCAGCTGACAGACAAAGAGGAGCCTTAGCAGGTACACGGGTGAGTGCAATTTATTGTCTATATAGTCAAATGTAGTTGCTAGAATAAGTATTGCCTATGTAGGATTCTTCCAACTGTTATACCTTGTCGTTCTCTTTCGTGCGCGCGCTCTCCCTTTCTCTCTATCACTTTCTCTGTCGCTTTCTCTCTCTCTCTCTCTCTCTTTCTCCTTCTCTCTCCTTCTTTCTCTCTCTTTTTCTCGCTACTGTTTTGAGGATTCGACACGCGTCATTAGAGAGCAGAGACGCGGGAGCGTTTGTCAGCAACATGTTCGTCGTAATATTGGTCTTATTCGCTCCCTTTATTCTCATGTGTTATACGTAATAGAACTTTTCATTTATCGTAGAGCATGATGTTGCTGAAAACGTCCCCAGCTTTAGGGTATGTGAGATAATACCTCGCTTGAGTGATAACGCTGGCTGCAGCATAATATTCCTGACTATTATATGGTGACTTGTATGACACATCACGCAAACGACAAATACATCTAATATAGCACATTCATGTAGTAATTCGGAGGTAGATTCTGTGTAGAGGTAGATAAGATTCGTCTTCTTTCTATTCGTATGGAGTCTATAGCCGAGGCCACGTCTGTGCCGCAGCAGTTAACGCAATGAGGACCAAGGCTCATAGATAAATATAAGATCATTTATTTATAGGTTTGCTATCCCGAAACTATCTTGTATTACAATCAGACGCGCTTATTCAAGAATGCGTTGAAAACGAAACAACACATCTCATAATGTCCAGCTGAATACAGACACGTGCGCACGCACGCACGTAGGTCGCACACGTGTACATATTGTGTGTATGCCGCCACGCACAGCCATGCATGAGTTCTTGCTCGTACCGCTCCTTATAAATTGACTTAGAAGTCATAGCTAGATAGAGTCATATTACTTCTAATTGTCGTTTAGTAGCGTTTAGTTTCGTCGGCCATCGGTAATGAGTGACATGACGTTGTCTTTCGTAATTTTAATTAATCGTATAAGTGCGACGCCAGCCACCTAATCTAAGTCCCTCTCTTAAATAATGATATCTTCATCGTCTTCACTAACTTCTGCTTCCGACTGTGAAGTAAAGAGGCCATTATATCTGTTATGCAGTGACAAAGATGTCAAAATGCAAGATGACTCACAACTGCATGGTCAAACTGTCTCAGAGAGCCAGAGATAATTCATCAATTGCAACAATACTTGTTGAATTATTGTTTCTACCGTTTAAAATAATTATCACGTTGTATGTATACATGTTTGTTTGTGGCGCGTGTTTATGCGTCGTGCATGCGTGGGTGCGGGTCTGTGTGGTGGCGCGCGTGTGTGTGCGTGCGTATGTGTGGGCGTGTGCGTGCGCTTGCGTGTATGCGCGTGTGCGTGCGTATGTGTGCGTGCGTGCGTGCGTGCGTACGTGCATGCGTGCGTGCGTGCGTGCGTGGCGTGCGTGCGTGTGTGTGTGGCGTGTGTACTTGCGTGCGTGCGTGCTTGTGTGCGTGTGTGTGTGCGTGTGTAAGCGTGCGTGCGTGCGCTGCTTGTTTGCGTGTGCGTGTGTGTGTGTGCGTGCGTGCGTGCGTGCATGCGTGGTGGGCGTGCATGCGTGCGTGCGTGCATGCGTGCGTGCTTTGTGTGCATTAAGAAGGCTTTTACGCGGCGACACATGCAGTGCCTCTGGCGGGAGCACTGATTTTATCTATAAATTTACGTGAAAACAATCCACAATAATCTGATAGCCGATAATATAATACAACGCGACTTAGGCATTATCTTCCGCGTTACTTGCGACGACGCGTGTCGCGCAGGCCATGCTTAGTGACACAGAAGCAATATAACGGTCGGCGCGCCCTTACGACCTTCTCTGCTGCTTCGCGCGCCGCCACAGACCGCCACGGTTGCGACTGCTGTCGCAATAGACGCGTCGCAATTACAAAGCAATGTGCCGAGTGATTCTGCGAGCAACGTAATGTAGCGGACATTACGAGCGACAATACGAATCGAATGCGAATTGTAAATGACAGCAATCGTCGTCGCCGTCGTCGTCGAGCGCAATCCGCGCGCGTCATATCGTGTTTGCGAGCTGCCGCTAGTGTGGTTGCGTCTGCTTGGGCGTGCCATATGGACGCTCGGCGGCACACGAGCCCGCAGTGAAGTGTGCAGTTGGCATCGGTGTAGCGAATACTAGCACATCGCGTTCTAATTTAATATACAGTGGGATTGTCGATAGCGTTCACTGTGAAATGGTATAAAGTTTGGTGCGATCGAACATGAGCATTAATCTAGATCAATGTAGACGACTAATGTCGCTGAGCCGTTCCAATTTCAACGCGGAGCCTGCGTAAGCAGTGTGAGGTGCATGTAGTACAAAACATACATACGCGCGCGCGTGTGTGTGTGCGTGTGCGTGAGTGGCGTGCTCCATAACGTGCATGCAGCTATATGTACGTAGGTAGATAGGTCGACGTGCGTACAAATGTAGGTGTTTTGAATGCGTGCGCGACTACGTGCGTGCGCGCTCCATAACGTGGCGTGCAGCTATATGTACGTAGGTAGATAGGTCCGATCGTGCGTACAAATGTATGTGTTTGAATGCGTGCGTACTACGTGCGTGCGCGCTCCATAAGTGCGTCAGCTATATGTACGTAGGTAGAAGGTCGACCGTCGTACAAAGTATGTGTCTGAATGCGTGCGGACTACGTGGCGTGCGCGCTCCATAACGTGCTGTGCAGACGTATGTAGGTAGGTCGACGTGCGTGCAAACACACGTGCGTGCGTGCGTGCGTGCGTGCGTGCGTGCGTGCGTGCGTGCATGCTGATTAACCGCCCAACATGTGAAGCATAGATAGACGGTGGGTGCGCGCTGGTTAAATGCGTGTTCACGGCGTGCCGTACATGCGGGCATGCGAGAGTGAAAACGCGAGACCACAGAGACAAACAGAGAGAGAGAGAGAGAGAGAGAGGGAGAGGGGGTGGGAGGGGGCTGAGAATTCGCTAGTTTGCAGCAAAAGTAATTACACATGCGGGTGGTGTTTATGATCGGAACCTGTGTATCTAACGTTGCGTGACGAGTGTATGCGCGCAAAAATATTCATAATGAAATATAAATTCAATTAAAGGCAATATAACAAAACACAAAACAACGAACGCAATTTATTATTACTACGACTTCTTGCGAATCTGTGACGAGCTCAGATATCGTTAGCGATATTACAGATAAAAACGTGTCATAACTGCTTAAGGCCGCGCACACCAGCAGCCGATTTTTACAAACGCATGAAGCGATGAAGCGATGAAGCGATGAAACGATGTAGGTGTGCGGTTCATTTGTAGACGATTTTATTGTTATCGGGTGATGCGTTCCAAAATCAAACATGTTTGATTTTGAACCGATTATTTGGACGCGATTTTGTGGTGTGCGCGTGACCTCAGGAAACTCGTGTGCGATAAATATTGAACAGCCAATAGCTGAACGTGCCCGTGTCACATGACATTCATCCTTGCAGAAATTATCGTAGGGTGTGCGCCGCACACCTACATCGCTTCATCGCTTCATCGCTTCATCGCTTCATCGATTGTAAAAATCGGCTGGTGTGCGGCGGCCTTTATATACGCGCAGCAGTTGCTTATACGTTATTATGTTCATACGCTATATGCTCTTCTATATACGCTACTATACGCTACTATATACGCTACTATACGCTACTATGTACGCTACTATACGCTTCTATATACGCTACTATACGCTTCTATATACGCTACTATACGCTTCTATATACGCTACTATACGCTTCTATATACGCTACTATACGCTACTATATACGCTACGTTATATGCGTTATTTGTTTATACGCATATACGCTACGCTATATGCGCTATTTGTTTATACGTATATACGCTATAACATCACGTTATATGCCACGACCTTGCTGCAGACATACGCGCGCGCGCGCCCGCACGACGTACTGCACGCACGCCACCACACCACACACACACCAGACACACGCACACACACACACACACACACACACCAGCACACACACACACACGCACACACACACAACGTACACCCACACCGCACGCCACACGCACGCGTGCCGCCGCACGCACACGCACGAGCGCCCATACAACCACTAGTTGCTGCCATCACGGTGTTGTGGTATCATCATGTGGCAAGCACCGCGTGGTTTACGCTGACGCCTATAATTCATTCCTATATCTGAACCGCCCGTGAGACTAATGAGAGTATACGCGTTGGCTAATCAACGCATTAATTTGCCGCGTGAGTAGATACACAAACGCGTCAATAGGTTCGTCTGCTCTCGCGTAATCATTGCGCGCACAGGTAATGAGGTAGCAGGTGTGAGGTATGAGGCACGGTATGAGGTACAGGTATGGAGGTAGCAGGTAGTTGAGGTACAGGTATGAGGTGTACAGGTATGAGGTACAGGTATAAGGTACAGGTATGAGGTACAGGTATGAGGTACAGGTATGAGGTAGCAGGTATGCAGGTGTATGACAGGTGTATCAGGTAGCAGGTTAGTACAGGTATGAGCGTACAAGTATGAGGTACAGGTATGAGGTACATGTATGAGGTACAGGTGTGAGGTTACAGGTGTGAGGTACAGGTATAGGTACAGTGGTATGAGGTACAGGTATGAGGTACAGGTATGAGGTACAGGTATGAGGTACAGGTATGAGGTACAGGTGTGAGGTACAGGTATGAGGAACATGTATGAGGTACAGGTCTGAAGGTTCAGGTATGAGGTACAGGTATGAGGTACACAGTAGAAGGTACAGGTATGAGGTACAGGTATGAGGTACAAGTATGAGGTACAGGTATGAGGTACAGGTGTGAGGTACAGGTATGAGGTACAGGTATGAGGTACAGGTATGAGGTACAGGTATGAGGTACAGGTGTGATGTACGGTATGAGGTACAAGTATGAGGTATACAAGTATAAGGTACAGGTATGAGCGTACAGGTGTGATGTACAGGTATGGAGGTAACAAG